CAGTGTATCAATAAGGAATTTCAACGGGTCAATTACTACTGCTCCCATCAAATCATTTCTAAATTTCTATTTAATTTGTCAGGTCATGTAGCTGACCTTGTCGGGTTTTTGACCCGAGACCCCTCACTTATCTGGAACACTGCCTTCATTTAGAATTTCTCAAGATCTTCCTTGGGGACCAGTATGGACATTTCTTGAAACTGCACCATGTACAAAATCCTAACCAGGGTTCTCGATCAGTTCATCTTAAAACTGTTGTATGTTGTGCAAGGATTTGACCGTGACAGGCTAATGGCCAATGATAGCTTGATAGCGAAGAAGTTAACTACAGTAGACAAAGATCCATCAAAAGTCAGTTTCCTTTTTCTCTTTCAGGATTTCATATTAGATGTAATAGTACATGTATTTAGTTACTGGTTTTGTCAAACATGATGATAAGAGAGGTCATTTTAAAAATGCCAATAAATTCAGAGCAATTCTCTATCTAATAATTCAATAAACTTGTTACCAACAGTCATTCTTTGTTACAAATGTTGATTTACTGTTAGAATAGAAATACTGCCAACTCAAAGTTCTTCCTCATTGTGCACAGGGCATGTTCAGCTCCAGAGGTAGAAGGCTTCTCATGGCTGATGCAGATGGAGCAAGTAAATTCTCTGACTTAGCAAGATTAGAGACTGCTTTAGACGATCTGAATGGAAAGAAGGTCAGTTTAATTTATTGCAGATGTTACCCATGACTTGTATGTAGGAATCTGAAGGAACCAAAGTAAAACTAATATTTATATGTAACTACAGGCAAACTACTGCTTATGGACACTGTCTCTAATACAGACAGTCACACCACTCTATTATGGACACTGAGTTGCATGGGTCCCTGCTTAATGTCCTTATATTCTTAAATGTAAATCCTCTGTACCGGTAATATGTGCCTTCTCTAACACATTCAACAGACACTTATTCTTCACTCCAGAGAGCAAATCAGTATAAACTTAACCTCTTTATTGCAGACAAATCAGTGTTGATTTCACATTTGAAATGTGTCTGCCATTCGTAGCATAATTTTGCACATATTATTTATTACTAATCACCACCTTAATGACCATTCATCATTGTAAAAATATGTATCAAATCATTATTTGTAAGGTGAATAAATGTTTCTTGTTCAACATGTTTTTGCTTATTTAGGGGCACAAAGCTGTAATAGTTTGTGGTTCAAGAGCTCATCTTCAAGATGAAGCTGTGGCACAAGTAAGGAGAGGTGTACAGTTCTAGAGTGAGCACGATAATAAGTTTGGTTTGGTTAGAGTAATGATACTGGTTTCGCCCTATGGCAAGTTTGCCCCCACTATAAAATTTCTATTTCGAGTTTGCCCCCAACTTTTCGTGTTCGTGTTTACGTAGTTGTCATCGAGTTATTGAACGTTTTTGAAGAACCATTTCAGTCTAAGTATGTTTGCTTGTTCGCGAGTGCATAGCAACAAAGTCCAACGGTTACCAGTCATCTCGCCACAAGGGAGTCTCGCCACCAATGAACTCTCCACCAAGGGAAGTCACCTCGCCACCAAGCGAAGTTTCCTTGCCACCAGTAATCTAATGAGGCAGTGGATAAAAGAACGAGGAATAATTTCTATATGCGACTCGATCTGGTTGGGGGCGAACTCGATCAAGTTGAGTCAATGTGCGTGCGTTTAGATGAAAATGATGTGGGGCAGTGAGGCGACCTCGGTGGGGGCGAACTCGCCATGGGGCGAAACCGGCAGCTACCGTGAGGTCAAGATGGCTGGATATTGGCCAAGTTCTTTTTTTGCGACTTTATGGACCGAGACGGAGTCGAGATCCATAAACTCGCAAAAAAAGAACGAG